TGCAAGCAGCACAGATGACAAAACAAAAAAAACTAAAACCTCAATATCATCACTGTTATCATGTCAGTGAAGCCAAGATGACGTCTTTGATATATGTAAGTTTCGGTGAAAGTTTCACTACACACATATAGAAATAATCATATAAAGACTTGTGAAGAAACAAGGATTATTGTGATTTTCTTTTATGATCTATTAGGGTGTTGAGGACTAATACTAAGTGATAATATTGGCTGATGGTAGTGCCAAAAATCTAGAATTGACGGCAGAAGTCAGAATTATTATTATTATTACTATTTCCTTTGATTCCTAGAGGCTTAAGCCGCGCGTCTCCATTGCGTTCAGTTCTCTGTCAGAGTTTTCCCCTGGTTTCACATGCTTTCATCTCCTCTTCACATCACCTCCTCAAAGTCACCCTCGTATTGATGAACAACTCGCCGCTTCCCTTTCGGGTTCCATCCGAACAATGGCTTGTCTAGTGATGTCACTTGATCGTTTGTCTCCTCAGCGTATGGCCAATCCATCTCCATTTCTTCCTGCCTATTCGTTTCGCAATCGATTCCTGGTTAGTTCGCTCATTGCCAGAGATCCCTGTTTCTGATCTTTTCTGGTCATCTGATCTTGAGTATTGAGCGAAGACAACTGTTAATGAAGGTCTGAAGTTTGTTTGAGATGCTCTTTATGACGCCCTGGCCAGGTCTGTGATCCGTATAGTAAGTAGCACTGACTTCACATCGGAGTTGAAACTCCGGATCTTATTTTCATTTTGATGCTGAGTAGTGCTGTTCACCTCCACACAGACTTGAGAGTAATGAAAGCTTGTCTTGCTTTGATATCCTCGTCAGTTCCGTGTGCCTGTAGTTGAAACGATGCTTCCCGGGTAGTTGAAGTAGGTTGTTTCTTTCAGGTCCCTCCCATTTATTCTGATTGTTATCTGTTGGTGTTGGCCGAGAATCTTTATCACCTCTTTTTTCTCAATGTTCACCTGAAGTCCTGTCTTCTCTGGATGCTTCTTCTGCCAACTTACTGCTGTTCACTTGTATATCTTCCAGTCTGTGGAAAATCAGACATATATTATCAGTGAAGTCCAGATCCTCCAAGTTTTTGTGAAGGTCAAGTGTTCGACCCCCAGTGGTGAGGTAATGGATGCGTACCGCCGATTAGTCCAAATTTACGATGAAACAGATGCTGGCTTTCAATGGTTCTCTAACTGATAGCAGTCCATGATTAGTCTTCAGATCTATCAAATCCTTACAAGCTCTAATACTTGAAAATTATACTGACAGATGAAATGAATAAAAATACAAAAATGCTGTAACCAGTGTGCGCACGACAGACGACGCAGTCCAACCAACGACAAAGATATACATATTCATGCATTTTCCGAAGAGACAAATGTACCATATGCCTAATTATACTGTTTATGGATGTCTACACTGTCCATAGACAGAATGAAAATCGAAAACATGGTTCAAAACTGGAAGTTAAGTAACTAAACCATCGAATCATAGCTTGAGTCTACAACTGAAAAAAAAATGTTTCTTCTCCTCAATACTGTCATCTGAGTAGACACAAGTACATAAATTTAGTGTGAATTTGTGCTACAGAGTCAATGCATACAATGTAATGAAAGTTTATGTAATACGTTAATACTCACTGCCTTCACGTGGCGGAGGTGTTCTTCACCAAAGTGAGAGGGCGAAAGCGGATGACCGGCGCTCTTCACCGGGTTGACTGTTCATTGGATGACAGTCTAGGGGAGATGGCTAAACCCTGATTCCAAACCTCCAACGACTGGCGTATGAAGCTCACTGGAGCTCACCGGCAGACGTATGGACAAAGGGCTTATTGGATGCCCTGGATGATTGGCCCCATTCAAAAAGGCGAATGAACCGGACTCCGGTCACCGGCTGCCAATTGATAGTGGACTCTCTACTCCACTCCTACTGCCTTGTAGGTGACACTTGGTTGTGTAAAGGCTAGAGCTGCACTCTCAAACAAAGGCCGAGCGATGCTGGGGACATCACTCGTACCCAATTCCCATGAAACTTCATGGTTCATGAAGCCGGCTCATCCTCCCGTAGGAGATAGCCGAAGTAAAGTAAAAAGTAATACGTTAATAATAACCAGAATGACAACGAAAGGTTGACTGACTAACCATCCAGTCCAGAGAATGCATCCTTTTCTTTCTTCCTTTCTTTGCGTTTCGAATGGAGCCTAAGGCTTCAAAAGCTTTTTAAGGTTTTAGTAGCAGTGATGTTTTTTACGGGTGTCGGCGCTAGCCTCATACCCCCCAACCTCCCCTATATACCGGGTTTATTACTAGCTAAGCGATTATGAATGCATCGACCGGGAATCGAAGCCCATAACCACATACATACATGGTTGGCAGCCATTTAACCATTGAACTATTAACCTAAGAGAATGCAAAACAGCACGAAATTCTACTTTCCATCTGTCTGAAGTAATTTTGTTAGATTGTTAAATAAGTTTAGATTTGTTCGTATGAATGGATACAATTCATCTGCATAAACTTTAGTCACAATCACTTGGTCTTAATAACATAAATACATACCACTTGAAGAAACAATTTACACTGAATGAAACCTTTAAAATATTTCATGCTGACAGTATGATATTTATCTCAGACTGAATCTTAAAAGTATCCGAATTCAAACATTATCTGTTCTTAAAAAAGCACAGAAAAACAAATAAAGAGAAAAGCAATGAAACCACAGTGACAAGAAAAAACAGAAACATTAAATTAAAATTTCTCAAAAGTCTGCTTTCAAAATATGAATAATGACATTTACACTGTTTTAAATAAATGTTGACTCCTACAGACAGGATAATAGTTTCCAACCAATGAATCTGAGCCCCTTGACGGGATGCCAATAAGTTAGTCTACACTTCAATATATATGACTCACAACAACAGTCAAAAACTTCATGAACGAACTGATTTTTTTTTCTTCTGGTCACTTCTAACACCTCTGAAAGTTAGTTCATTTTCAGCTATGCAATGCTAGGCGAAGAAGTTGGTGGCACGGTATGTGTACCGAAGTCCTAGTCATCTTAACTCATGGAACTTTACGACCTAATCAGTTGGCTCCCCTTCGTTACCTAAAATTATGCGTAACGTCTTTATTACGTATCAGTGTGCTCTACTTGAGGTAGACATCTATGGTCAAAAACGTCTAGCTTCTCCTTGGTCCATTGCTGAGACGAAAGCAGGAATATTGTTTGATTTACCTATTCGTTGTCACAAAAATGTTACCCTCATTCATTCAGTTAACTAACAAAAACTAAAATGGATTTGATGGGAAGACGACTATATGAGATAGTGTGAATATTCTTACATTTACTCACATTGATTGTATTCATAAAATAGTGAGAGTTATACCAACTTGTTTATTTTTAGTCATGTATACAGGTCGCACATGATTCTAATTCTGTCGGTTATTCTCATTTATCCGACGGTGGTAATTTGTGCTCTTATTAATGCTGTGTATGAGTTCTTCTATAGGGATAAGAAACTTGACGGGTGGGTCACAAAAAATATTTCCAACAGCCTGTTGCACACCTTTATCAACAACTGTCTTCGCTCTATACTGAAGATCAGATGACCGGGCCAGAAAGAATCACCAACAAGAAAATATGGGAACAAACAAAACAAAAACAAACCAATCGCCAACCGACAAATATGAAAGAGAAAGTGGAGATGGATTAGACACTCACTCGCTGAGGAGGCTGCCACTGGGTGACATCGCGCGCGCATCAGGCCATCGCTCGAGTGGAACCAATCCGAAAGGGAAGCGGCATGTGGGACGTCAGTGCAAGGATGACATGGAAGAGATCGTGTGAAGAGGAGCTGAAACGGTATGGACTAACTAACTTGGATGCAGGTGAAAAGTACAGAAGAAGGTAGAAGCAACTGGAGACGTGCAGTTGAAGCCCTATGTTCCACTAGGAACCCAAGGGAACAATAATAATAACATTCCCATTTATCTGACGGTGATAATTTGTGCTCTTATTAATGCTGTGCATGAGTTTGTTTGAGGGATACATATATACACCAAGCAAATTGTGGGTTTATATACTACATGTGTAAATATTAGGATTTTGATTATTGTGGCAATACAAAATTACCATTACATTCTTACATTGTGTTGGCTTTATCCCGTGTATAAGTTCAAGTTAGTACTCAGTGGGGGAATTACTTCTTAATTCAACTGCACATACACACAGCATTGGGTTGGCAGACTGACTGATACAGATATAACCGATGATGACTGAAGAATTCACAGCAGGATTCGAACTAGCAACCTCCATAATTAATAAAAAGACAACTTCAAGTAGTAGTGATCGAATAGAACATTCTTTGTTGTAAAATCAATGTCTCAAAACCCGATCGATAGGTGCTACATTCTTGTGATGATTAGACTGACCATATTCCGACGACCTAACGAGCTACACTTGCTGGAACTAGTGTACCTGCAGATCTTATCGCAACCAGAAAGGTCGTTTGGATAGCGGTTAAACTATAAACTGTTACATTCATATCGTCAGTCGTTTACATTATGTGAAGCCTGTGGACGAATAGAGTAGAGATTTCACAGCAGTAAGGCGTTTACCTCAGATGAGCAGCAAGCAATCTATGCAGCTTCTGTACTATGAAGAGGAAAGGACTAGAAAAGATTGAGCCCGATTATTATACACTCCAACTTACTTTGAGATGGGAGGTAAGATCCTAATACGGATACAGCTCCATAAACCACTTCACACAAGCCGTGTGAGACTGGCCTTAAGCAGTTATCCTCTGGGCTTTGAGGTCATACAATACTAATACTCTTTCTATTTCAGATACTCCACCAATAAGAAATCAACTTCCACAGAAGTGATGACACCATCGATAGACTTTCATAAGCACACAAAAGCCGACATTTCAAAGTTAATAGAGTCGTTAAAAAACAACAACAATTAAAGCAGAACAACAGGACTAACCTTACTGCTACGTATACTTGATGCACCACTAAGATCATCTACACTACGCACAGAATTGGTTGGTGAAACACAATTTCGTTGATTAGAATATGCATCCACCCGTTTACTTCGATGATTTTGAACAGGATTCAATGGTTTGACAAATAAACCAGAATGAGTAAGTCGACGATTGACCATGGCAGCAGTCGATGTAGGAGGAGGAGGAGGGGGATTTACATTTTCATTATCAGATGATGTTTCACCGCCGCTATTTCTTCCATTGCGCGTTTCAACATAGCGATTATGGATTTTATTATGATTTGAAAAAGCTTCAGGAACACTGTTACGATATTCCTTAAAGATAGATAAAGAAATATTAAATAATGAAAATATACCAATATATTTATAAGAAATAAACATAGATGTCAAGTTTAAATCTTGCATAAAGAAAAATAGCTCGATCTCTGGCAACGTTTAGGGTGAGTAATTCCGAAGAGTCACAAAATGAGGCGAAACAGTTGTCCGGTACTCCATGGTTTTTAACACATCTTCAACTCATGGAATAATGATGCAATACGGATATATTAATTTCAAGATAGAAATCCGTGTTTGGCATTGGACAGGTAGAGCAGTGACGTCAAACTCATAGACAAAGACCACTAAATCTAATCACAACTGGATTTCGAAGCCATGCGAACCGTAGTGAAGTGAATAACTGGTCAACCGTTAGGTGTCCATTGGCTGAAGACAGACTGGTAAGGCTAAACATCTTAGGTTTGAATCTGCCACGAGGCAAGATTCCAATATCACTTTCAATAAGAATCCACTACATTACAACCCAAATACTTTTTCAACAGTCTGACCAACAATAAAAGTCAACTTGAAGTCAAAGCCATCAACACTGAGAAGGTTATAAAGTATATCCTAACTTGTTACAGTATTTCATCATGAGCTGGCATCAGCTACAGAACCATTGGAAAACCAACTGGGAGTACTGGACAGCTGTTCCGTCCTAGTTTGGGACTCTTCACACTACGCACCCACCGACAGGGTTCGAACCCAGGACCTTCTACTTACAAGGCCAGCGAGCTCGTATACCATTAAGCCACTGGGACCCGATCCAATGGCCCTTGAATTCTAACTTCTGACAATTCACGACATAGCACGACCGCTAGCCAATGCCTTCGGCGAATATTTGTCCTCACACCCGACCTTCTGTACCCTACTGGTCACGACTTCTCACTAGAACCCCAGGTAACTACCTACCTGAATAGGGGCAGTCGCTAGTGAGCATCTCATCGATATTCAAGTGTTAGTTTGTAGGGATTTCGTCCCAAACTAGGACGAAACAGCTGTCCAGTACTCCCAGTTGGTTTTTCAATGATTCTCTAACCAATGTCAGCTCATGATGAAATCCTGTAATCAATCAAATCCCTACAAACCAACACTTTTATATCCTAATTTACCGAAATGACCTAGTAGCTTGACTACCAATTGACTAATTCAATGGTTTTTCAATATCGTTAACGGTATCTACAAGTACTTCTTATAATATTCTAAGTAATTTAATACAGACGTAAAAATGCAAGCTCATTTTGAACACTTTATACGGACATTTATATGTTGAAACTAGTTAACCATAACTAAGTGCTCAGTTAATTACAGAGTACTCACTGGTGCAATAGCATCTTTAGGTGACTGAAGACAGTCGATAGGAAACAATTAACGTAAATTTAGTGTTTCTTGACAAGTATAACAAAATTATACATACAATATCATGGGAGCTGATGTCTTCTAAAGTAAGCCGAAATTATTTCAGATACTGAACAGGGTAAAAATGTGTTGAGGTAACGAAATTAAACTTTTGTGACTAATAGTTCAGATGTTACTCAAACTCATGTTATCATCTAGTGTCTCGGTATACTTTAACAAGGTTTTGTGGCTGAATTATTAAAATTACAAGCAGCACAGATAAGAAAGTTAAAAAAAAGCCAGTCAATATCAGAAAAACAAACCATACAGACCTTCATTGCACTGAAATTAGTGTGGAAATCTGCTGCTCTCTCATTCAGTGTAGAGAACAAGATTCAACTTCGCAACACTAACGTCAAGTCAGTTCTTCTATATGGTTCAGAGACTTGACGTGTCACCAAGAGAATTTCGACCAGCTTATATTTATTGACTTTCATCAATAGCTAACTTCACTCGGTACTGAATATTAGATGGTGGGTCAGAAATGATCGGCGACAAGGAACTCTGGGAGACAGCGAATCATCAACCAAGAGTCTATCGTTCAACAAACATTCAGAAGGAAACAGACATGGATTGCACGTACACTGAAGATGACACCAATGAGTCACATCCCGCGTCAGACAAACCCTCAAGTGGTATCCGAGTAAGAAATGACGGTTTGGGAGTCAGTAGCAGGATGATATGGGGGAGATCGTGTGAAGAGGGAATGAAAGCTTATAGCCAATCGTCAAGCTAGCCAAAAAAAATACTCCGCACGACAAGGTGCAATAGAACTATGCTACCGAAGCCGTATGTTTCGTTAAGAATTCGAAGGAATAATAATAAACCTCAGTGTTTAAAGTTAGAAAGGCAATGAAATGACAGTATAGCTCAGGAACACTTGGTACTGGTACACTTGACTATATTTTACAGTTATCATCACTTTTCAACAAAAACAATCGTGCAAACTTCCAGTAATTTCAAGTCACCATCAAACAATACAGAAAACAAAGATATTTCAGCATATTAACAACACAAACTAGAGAACATGAGATGTATTCGCCAATCACTAACGACAATGAATAAAAATGCAGAAACTTACAATTTTTCTCTCTGAAGACGATAACGCATGATGTACACCGTTCTGAAGGCCGTTGGTGGTGAGTGAGTACGACGACCTACAAGGAGTAGTTTCTTTTTCAGAGACTACAGATTTGATAAGATTAGGATGGGTGGTTAACACATAATTCATGGCTTTACTATCTACAGATGCTGAAATTAACGCTTCACCCAGAGATTGTATATCCTTCGGTAATGGCTGATAACCAGCAGCCAACGGTGAAGGAGTTGAATCTGATTCAAAGTTATTCCTGTTTTGGATAGATTTAATTTGAGAGGTGTGTTTCGGATCATTCGATAAAGCGGATGGAACAAGTCGACTGACACTAGTATTGTTATTTGCTGTTGTATTGTACATAGTAGACTGACTGTTGGCACTATTTGATATGGAAGACTCTTTTGTGTGATGATAATGATGATGTCCTTTATGACTTCGACTTTTGATTTTATTCGACAGATTGTTATCAGTAGTTATTTGACTTAAGGTGCCGACAATATCAGTTGAATCGATCGCCTGAAAAAAATAAAATACACATAGCTTTACAAAGGCAATTGAGATATATTTCTGTTATGCAAGAGTGTGATAGTGCAAAAAAGTTAGACACCAAAAGTCTCCTATCAAAAATTAAATAGCTGACTGCATATCATCTAATCCCCCTAATATAATGAAGTAGCCTATACTTATACTGTCTAGGGCATAAAGTATTTAAATTATCGACATAAAATTCACCACCCGGACAACTGTTTACTGCGACGTGCCTAATAAGCAGTTCCACGATACATGAGCGAAGTAGCTGAAGACACGTTGACCGCTTCACTTATTTGGGAAGTACCATCAGCCAATGCCAACGGGTTGATCTCTGACGAAATCTCAGCTGAGTACGGATACAGGGGCTCGTTTCGCATTTGCCAGTTTACGCCGACTCTGGTGTAGACGAGATGTTCGACTATCGACCAAAGGGCGGGTGTACTGCTCAACAGTCCTCTCCATCCTCCTTTATGGCTAGCTGTGAGACCTGGCCACTGAGAGTGGAAGACATGAAAAGACTAGCTGTCTTTGATTATAGGTGCTTGCGCTCTATCTCCCGTGTGAAGTAGTATAATAAGGTGAGAAATATTGAGGTTAGGCGACGGGTTCTAGGCGAACAGGGGAAATCAATCGACGAGGCTTTGAAATTACATCAACCGAGATGGTTAGGACGTGTGTTACGCATTCCTGTCTAGTCATCGCCTACCTTGACAATGGGCAATGTTAGCTGACACAGGGTCAGGCTGGAAAAGAGCAAGTGGAGGTCAAACCAAAACATGGCTTCATCAGTCAATGAAATCTACAACAGTTAGTCTAAGCTAGCTACGTAGGAAGGTGTAGAATCCCTGGTTGGGGTCCTCGGGACGGTAAAAACGAATGGTATGAAACAATTGGTGACATGGCTCAAAGTCATCGTTCTCAGTGGCTGATGCAGATTCATCCACTCCTTGTGACTTATGATCTCCAATGAAACTGTTTTGTCCTTCGTTATTACTCCTCCTTTGTCTCACACCTCTGCTCACTGTCTCTATTATGCTTTTCTTGTACCTTCTTCTGTTGTTTTGTGTGCTACACGGAGGGAGTGTGACGACTTGAACTGGTGCACATTTGTGCAAAGTTCTATGTCGAAAACAGACAGAGAGACAGCTGAAGACACACACACACGCACAAAATGTCTGAACACAGGTCATCAACTACCGATAGAATATCTATCATCATTGGGAAGAGAAAACAAACATACACCGTAGTCTTCACATATGAAGATTTAGCAACAATGAGCAAATAGTTTATAATTGGAAGAAGTCCAGAATTCAAATCAATCCACCAAGGTTTCTCGATCAACCACTTGCAATCCCATACACCTGGGTATCGAGCCACACCTATTTGTATGAGGGATGATTATGTTACCCTGGAGTACCCGAACCTAATTATGTGGAGTGCCATTCGGACAAACGACCCATTGGTTGGAAGTCGAGCGCCTAGGTCAAGGAGGCACAACTCCATTGTCAAAGTAATTAATAGAGATTGATTCGTAACTTTTATTTCGATTTTTTTGTGTTCCACATGAGTTTATGTAGATATGCGGAAATCAGTAAGTAAAAATCCAAATCAGAAAATAAATATACACATTTTAAACAGTGAAATACTCCAGAATTAGTTTAACACCAAACAAAAATTGTGTTAAATAAAACAGATGTGAAGCGCATCTGGCAATCTTAGCTTAGATGGAATATTTTCTCCAAAATGAACCAGATGCAAGAGAAAAAACGTTCAACTAACTAACTAACCTGTGTTTCCACTGGATAGCTTGATCGTAAATGTGAAGGCTGTTGACGATTGCGCAAATGTAATTCTTTAAGACGATTAGGATCTAATAGAGAAAAAAAGTGAAGAAATAAAATAAGGAAAAATTACACACACACGCACAATTATATTATTATGAATATTATAGCTATTATTCAAATGAAGAATTGGCGTTTTCAACGCGGTATGATAGCTGACCACTCGGGAGATTAGGGTTCTATTGCCGACTAACGAACGCACTCCAACACCTCGCCTACCTAGTAAAAGGTTCACAAAAGAAGCAAACTTAGGCGTGAGATCAGCAAACATACCCAGTAAAAACCCAGTACCGCAACTATTGAACCTTCGAAGATTGAAGCCCTATTTTCCACTCTGAACGCAAAAAAAAATTGTTTTCTTTTTTCAAATAAAAACGCGTGCTCCAAAAAATAGAATACATTATTAACAATGATGTAAACGGAAGAGAAGTAAGGGGATAGTAAAAGAATAGGGGAAGGAACAAACCTAAGCATTTTTGTAAAGTATATCCACGGTGATATTCATTAGGAAACAAGGCAACTGCAGCATGTTCACCGCTGAATTTAGGTTTTGAAGCATAAGTGATAACATTTCAAACCGCTGTGCCGGATGGTCGATGCCCCCCATCACACACACACACACACTCAATGTGCTGAATGCATCAATAGACGCAAATGCTTCTGTGGTTTGATGGCAAAATGTCCACCAACCACACACTTCGTTCCGGTTCGATTTCCCGTCGACGCCCCCCTACACTTAGTCTAATTTACTAGCCATTAGTCAGTCCAGAAAAGAGAGCAAGTCGGGTATGAGGCTAAAAACCGCACCTCGTAAAAAAAACATCAACATTAAAAATTCTAAAAAGCTTGAAGCCTTATGTTCCCCTCGAAATGCTAGAAATGAGAAATCAAACAGAACTATCTCAGCCATGCCACAATGGTGAGATGTAGGTGTTTGTTTGTAATCACAAGAAACATCACTAGACTGGTGCGATATTAAAATATGCTGAATTAAGTTCAAGGAAGTAATAATAATGGTGATAAAATAATCAACTTCAACGGGTATCAATAGCTACATAAAATGTGGGATGAGAGATACGACTATAACATATTATTTTAATTTTGATCACGGAATCTGTTTGTCTGTCTGTCTGTTTTCGACATAGAACTTTGCACAAATGTGCACCAGTTCAAGTCGCCACACCGTGTAGCACGCGAAGCAAGAGAAGAAAGCACAAGAAAAGCATAATAGAGACAGTGAGCAGAGGTGTGAGACAAAGGAGGAGTAATAACGAAGGACAAAACAGTTTCATTGGAGATCATAAGTCACAAGGAGTGGATGAATCTGCATCAGCCATTGAGAACGATTTTGAGCCATGTCACCAATTGTTTCCAACCATAGATTTTTACCGTCCCGAGGACCCCAGCCTGGAAGTCTACACCTTCCAACATGGCTTAGACCAACTGTTGTGGATTTCATTGACTGGTGAAGCCATGTTTTTGTTTGACCGCCGCTAGCTTTTTTCCAGCCTGACCCTATATCCGCTAACATTCCTCGTCGAGGGAGGCGATGACTTGGCATACGTAACACATGTCCTAACCATCTCAGTCTTTGTAACTTCACAACTTCGTCAATTGATTTCCCCTCCTTACCTAGAACTCGACGCCTAACTTCAATATTTCTCACCTTATTATACTACTTCACACGGGAAATAGAACGCAAGCACCTATGATAAAAGACAGCTCGTCTTCTCATGTCTTCCACTCTCAGTGGCCAGGTCTCACAGCTAGCCATAAATGAGGACGGAGCGGACTGTTGAGCAGTACACCCGCCCTTTGGTCAATAGTCGAACATCTCGTCTACACCAGAGTCGGCGTAAACTGGCAAATGAGAAACGAGCCCCCTGTATCCGTACTCAGCTGAGATTTCGTCAGAGATCAACCCGTTGGCATTGGCTGATGGTACTTCCCAAATAAGTGAAGCGGTCAACGTGCTCTACCACTTCACTTCCTATTTTTAAACTAGGCATCGATGTAGTCCAGTCCTGTAACATCATCTTGCATTTGGTGGGAGCGAATCGCACTCCAAACATTCGTAGACTACAGCTCAAGGTGTTTAGAAGACTCTGCATTTCGTCAGCGTCTTCGCCTAGGAGGACTATATCGTCTGCATATTCCAAGTCAACGAGATTATTCCCTGGTAGCAAGTCAATCCCTGAGTCATTGAAGTCACTTAAGGTTAAGTCCATTAACACATCTATGATGAAGTTGAATAGAAAAGGGGATAATGGGTATCCTTGACGGACACCACTAGTCGTCACCAGTTCAGATGACAGCTCGCCGTAAGCCCTCACCTAGCTGTATGAGTACGAGTAGAGTGCCTTAATCAGTGCAATATATTTTCTCGGAATTCCCTTTACAGCCAAGCATCTCCAGAGAACTTCTCGATCGACAGAGTCGAATTCTGCCTTTAGGTCAAGAAATATAATGACTGTTGGACGCCGTTAGGAATTCCTATGTTCTAGAATTGGTTGGAGGGTGAAGATATGATCGACACACCCTCTTCCTGGTCTAAAGCCTGCCTGGCTCTCTCGTGTTTGTGTCTCCCGAGTACCACTCAGTCTACGCATGATTATTATCACGGAATGATATCAGTTAGAGAACCATTGAGATTCAGGAAGAACTGGACAGTTGTTTCGTTCTAGTTTCGGACTCATCAAGAGTATGTGCCCACTTGGATTCGAACCAAGGACCTTCTAGTTAGTTACAAGGCAAGTTTGTAGACCATTCAGCTACTGAGATCCGACTCCATAGCCACTTCAAGAATTCTAACTTCTACCAATTCGTGACTTTACAAATCAAATCATGAAAATTAATCTAATGCTTGCAAGTGATCGGAGTTCTAGTGGAAATTCGTGATGTGTGGACACCCAGTCAGAAATGAGGCCGAACATTCGCCGCAGATGACATTGGCTGGTGGTCGCGTTAAAATCACAAATTGGTAGAAGTTAGAATTCATGGAGTGCCGCCTATGGAGTCAGGTCTCAGTGGCTGAATGGTCTACAAGCAAGAAGGTCTTCGTTTCGAATCCCGGCGGGGAACATAATCATGATGAGTCCCAAACTAGAACGAAACAACTGTCCAGTACTACCTGGTTTTCGATAGTTCTCTAAATGCTATCAATCCGTGATCAAAACTGAAACAAATCAAATCCCAACAAACAGACAGACAAAAATTCAACATTAAATAATTTTCCCCATGCCAACAGCTCATATAATAGTCAAATCACACCCCCCCCCCCAGCCTCTAGACACTAATGCATCATCACTGGAATTATGTGTCACTACTGTTTTAAACTCAAGTGACAAATGGAATTCATTGTATTGTATTACATTACAGACAAAAACAAGAAGAGGGTACAATCATACAAAAAATGCATTGTATGAATACATCGATATAACTGTGGATAATAAAATAAACTGTCCTTCAAGCATTAATCAGTTATTATTAAAATACTGCCTCACTCTATTTGGTTATATGAAATCACACAGACCATGCCATACATATTTTCTTCCTATATACCATTTGGTCAATGGAAGATTCTTGCAAGATTCGCCAGTAATCAAACACACATAACACTTAAATCAAAGAGATCGAATATATCACAAACACAATGAATGAATCAAAAATACGAAATAAACAAACTTTGAGACTTTGAAGCAAAAAAAATTATGCTACCTCAAAGACAGAAGCATATCAAGTGTCGCAATACTTAGAAGCATAGGATGGTATATGTAATGTGTATATTATATATGTATAAAACAGAGAGAGAGAGAATGATGAACATCACTTATCTTCAACATCAATGTACATCACACAAACACATACATACATACAAACATAGGTACACAACATCCCTAAAAATGTGTCAACAGTATATCATATGATTTAATTTTTTACATAATACACAAGGCTAAATAAACCACCACAATAATCCATCATGACATTTCAGGTGTTTCTAAACGAATAATACATATTAAACCATGCAATAAGAAATCAATAATTCATATTGGTACTTCCCAGTTTACCTATCTATACATATATATAATCATCAAAAACACCTTCACAATAATGATAATATAATGAGTAAAAAACGAGCACTGAGTGTGAATGTATTTGAATTCAAGTATAACTTTTAATCAACGCTTCTATGTAAGATTGTACTAAACACTGAAACACATATATATTACCTAACCACCTAAAACGTGATAGGATTTCATGATGAGTTGACATTGGTTAGAGAACCATTGGAAAACCAACTGGGAGTACTGGACAGCTGTTCCGTCCCCGTTTGGGACTCTTCATTAGTATGCGCCCACCGCTAGGGTTCGAACCCAGGACCTTCTGGTTACAAGGGTAGCGAGCTCGTAGCCCATTAAGCCACTGGGACCCGATCCAATGGCCAGCCCATGAATTCTCGCTTCTGCCAATGTCTTCGGCGAGTGTTTGTCCTCACACCCGACCTTCTGCACCCTACTGGACACGACAACATCTAATCCCTACAAACCAACACTTGAATATCGGTGAGATGCTCACTAGCGACTTCCCCTATTCAGGTAGGTAGCTACCTGGGGTTCTAGTGAGAAATCGTAATAGTAGGATGCAGAAGGTCGGGTGTAAGGACAAATACTCGCCGAAGGTGACATTGGCTAGCCATCGCACTAAGTTGTGAATTGGCAGAAGTTAAAATTCATGGTCTGATCACTGGATCGGGTTCCAATGGCCTAATGATCTACGAGCTCACTAGTCGTGTTACCAGGACGTCTTGGGTTCAAACCCTGTCGGTGGGTGCGCACTGATGAAGAATTCCAAATTAGGACGAAACAACTGCCCAGTACTCCCAAGTTTTCCAATGGTTCCGTAGCTGATGCCAGCTCATGATGAAATCCTGCAACCAACCAATCAAATCCTTACAAACCAACACTTAAAACGTGATAGGCCGGAACTTCAGAGTTAATTGATCGAAAGTCAAGAACTAGTGAACTACACACAGATTTATTCAGCTTCATGTACTGCAGGTAGGAACTCTAATAACTGAGGTAGTCATCCACATCAAAAAAGGATAAGCCAGTGGGAATATACAGTGATTTATAATTTAAAATTCAAGCAATCTAAGAGATGTTGGTTACAACCATTGGAAAATATTCTGAAATCATAGATGATCTACGCTCTCTTGAAGATGCTTGTACATTTTACAGATAGATTACGGTCAGAGTTTTCAGCGAGAAAGTTATACAGTTTATAATTTGGTGGCCAGCAGAAATATACACTGCAGGCGACAAAATATATATTTACAATAGCACTAGACTGACTAATTTTATTATGGCACAAATTGCAAATATTTGCTTTGATTATAATTGGTGACTAGCAGTGGAATCCGGGATGTGCATTTCGTCCTATTTGAGACTCGTCAACTGGAGGTATCTCCATTGCCCAGTGAGTGATGACGTCCCCACCAAGGCTCGAACCCAGTGCCCATAGTTCGAGTCTCCGTGGGAACATCACCACCCCCTGGGGAATGCAGGTACATCCAGTTGACGAATCCCAAATAAGACGAAATGCGCATCCTGGATTCCACTGCTATTCACCATCCAACAAATAAATTCGAATCGATGCACCTGCACAAGAAGTTGACACGTCAACCTGAAACCGAGCACTTCGGTCCAATCAATCGACGGGAAAATCTAAAATTGAATTCAATTCGCTTTGACTGTTGAGGCTGTGGTTTAATATTTTGGAAGTAAGACACTTAAACAAACAAAACAGAATTAGGTATCACAGTTTTTAACCGCAAGATGGCGTCATAACATCTATAAACAACCTAGTACAATCGAGTGTACAAAGACTTCCGTCTTCCTCTTGAAATGCCCTTATGTGCCAGGTAAGTGATGTTTACTAACTTCACACCACGGTGGGGGTGTTCCCCCACAAAAGTGAATGGGTGAATTCGAGCGTCTAGTACTTATAACTGGACTGGTGGACATGCTAGTCTACCTACAAAAGCTGGAAAATCTTGATTCTAACCCGTTTATGGACATAGACTCCAGAATCCGAAAGGATCGAATAGCATATGATGCTGTTTTGTGCTTCAGAAATCATGAGAACAGATGACCTGACTCTGCTTCACAGCCTTTTAAATCAAACTTTAGGTCAAAGATTCAGAGGGTGGTGGTCTCTTGAGACAGCCACCTGCTTCGGTCTGTGTTCCCAGCCATCTCACAAACTACTAGTTATGTCTGGCATACCCCTTGGTGCTTGTAATGTACCAAATTTGTTTTATTAAGTATTGGTAGTAATAATAATAACTCGTTTGCTCTTCAGATAATACACGAAACGACGCCATCAGTTCAAAAATTAAGTAAATTATATTCGAAAAAACATGACCTGCTCAGGGACTGTTCTACACTCATCAGTAGAAGCATAACAGGAAGAGCTGTCAACTGAAAATACAATTAACAAACACAAAGTAACTGAGCAACTCTTGATGAAAATGGTATACTGATACACGAATATGCCCACTTCCTCGAGTGGACAGGTTAACAAAATACCGAAAAAATTCTGCTAACATATGTTTACACCACATTACAATCAATGAAAAAATACAATTGAAAAACAAAAGACAAGTAATTATTTAAATAAATAAACGACAGAAACACGCAAAAAGACACACACACAAAAACAAAACAAAACTACCAGAAGATAAAGGTGGACTATTCCTTGAACTCTTTGAAGCTGTTGAAATATGCCCAGTAGTTTGACAAGAAGCTTGTGACAGCAATTTATCATTATAAAATCCGTTAGTTTGTACATGATGATTAGCAGTGGTTAGTTTATTAGTATTTGCAGATCCTGAAATGTGAAGATTAGCAACAGGATGAGAGTTAGAAAATCAAACGTTACACTGTGAAAAGATTCAATAAGTTATAAAAAAGAACAACCATGAATGACTACCGAAGAGGTTAGTGCACTAATTAAACAAACAAACAAAAAGGAATATACACGTGGATTATTATGAATAGTGTTATGGTTTACGAGAAAGTTGACAGCCGAGGAAATCAACACCAATTAGAGCAATGCGATAAAGGCAAGAAGCAAATAGACACACATTATTTCAATGGGAACCAGTGAAATAGATACACGTAGATAATTGGATGTAAGAACACTACATCCATATTTGCGGCTGATTAAAAGGAATTGAACACAATCCGTTTTTTTTTCATAGTATTTAATGTGTGCAGAGGAAAGTAACTGTGGATAAATGACAAAAAAACCTATTGTGTATTTATCGATCCTTTATCAGTGTTATGAAAACGATTAACTTATACAGACTGAGATTTACTGGTGGTTTGAAAATGATTGATTGAGTCTATCCCTAATATCCTGATAAGTAGTTTCCACGATTTGACGGAGTTTCAACATAGAGCTTTGCACACTGCATAAACCACATGAATGTATAGAAAAGAGACTCAGAAGAAAAATAATGAGCAGAAATCTGTGGGAGAAGGAACAGTAACATGGGAAAGTATGATGGTTTAGTGGATATGAGAGATTATAAAGAGTACATAAATCTGAGCCACTAAGAACGACTTCGAGGCATATCACCAACATTTACAAGCTATTGGTTCTTAATTCCATATTAGTTTGTTTATTAGATGTATCACACAGTGAAACAGTATTGTATACTGGATGACGTTTCGAACACAATTTATTGTTCATAATCATATCAATTGTGGTCACACGACTTTGATATGATTATGAACAATAAATTGTGTTCGAAACATCATCCAGTATACAATACTGTTTCACTGTGTGATACATCTAATAAACAAACTAATATGGAATTACTTACTACCACAGTGCCCAAGTTTTACACATATATTGGTTCTTAGTATCACTAGGACTCCGATCAGGAAGTCTGCACTTCCTTGATTTGCCGGCTTAAACCAACTGCCAAAGAATTTATGATCAGATGACAGGTTGTGGTTTGAGAACCCCTAACTTCACTCTTTTCCAACTTGGTCCTACATGTAGTAACACTAATCAAAGGAGAAAGCAGTGAATTGGTATGGGAGCAGCACGTGTTCCAGCTATATGAATGAATAAAGGTGAACAACATCACCGATTGACATTACCCGTCTAACCTAACACTCCACGCCTAACCTGAATATAACTCACAATATTATACCACTTAATACGGGAGATAGAACGCTAACGTGTCTGCGGGGTAAAAGGCAGATAGACTCTTCACATATCTTTCATTTACAATGACTATGTCTCATAAACACATAGTAGGAGAGAATGAGGACTGATGCCCAGTAGTACAGCTATCCTTTGATCAATAATCAGTCGGATATCCCGACTACCGCGTATAAGACATAAGTTGGCATATGCAACACGATAATACCAGATTTCTACCAATTCACCGTAATTTAGAGTAGTCATCAATGAAAACAAGATTTACTCAGTTTTACGAGTTGATCACGGATTGGTATCAGCTAGAGAATCATTGGAAACCAGCACTGGAGTACTGGACAGCTGTTTCATCCTAGTTTGGGAATCATCGGCAGTACGCACCCACTGGGGTTCGAATTCATGAGTCATTGAATCAGGTCCCAGTGGCTGAATGGTATGGGAGCTTGCCTTGTAACCAGAAGGTCGTGGGTTTGAGTCGTGATGAACTCGTAAAGACAAAACTAACCGTTACAAATCAAACTACAGAAAATTTACTCAATTTCTCAAATATTTTCCAAACAAATGACTGATTATTGAAAAATAATGCAATCATTCAAATGATTTAAATAATATTCACTGACAGAAAAATAGATGGATGAATGGATAGATAGATAGCATGATTACAGAGTCATACTATTTTTGATTATATGAATAAACTTTTTAGTTAAATAGTGTTAAAATTATTAAAATAGTAGTAGTAGTATTGTAAAAACAGAAAGATACCAGCCGAAATATACAAAAACATACATATATTGAAATCTATGCATAACTTGTAGGTGAATTCATTCAATTAGACAAAATGTACAACATTGCTACGCGTATTATTAGAGAGACACGTTGTGTTGTATTTTAATTCAAAAAAACAAAGTAATAATAAACTGTATGATTAATTATCCAGTACAGAATGTTACGATAAACGAGAATACCAATACACCAATGATCATAATAAAGAATACTGATATTGGAACGAACAGTGACACAATAGCAGTAGCAGTAGCACCAAATGGAATGTGTCTAACACAAATATATATACACACACAAACAGAGTTGCTTCAACATTCAATATGTAGATGAAATGATAACGCACACACGCACACGCACACAGACACACGCAAACGAACACAGACTTCACTATTACTGAACAACTTAACATGTCAAAACAAAAAACAAAACAAAAAATAATGAAGTAATAATTAGATCTTGTTTCTTTTTTGCTCTCTCTCTCTCCCTCTCGATCGACAGACAAGACCTATCAGCATCATCATCACCATTGTCATTATTATTATTATTATTATTACTATTATTTTTAATGTGGTAAAAGCAAATGTATAGTATCCAAATGCTATTCTCTATTGAATAGAACCGAAAAGAGGTTAAGCGTGACCTGAACACGAAATATACTATATCGATTAAGCTTAGGGAATGCTTATAGGTATAGATATATAGATATAGGTGAAACACATTCCATGCAGATGACATTTATTTTTTCTTTCAAGTGAAGAATTTAAGAATAACATCATGATCCACTTATGTATATATACATAACTAGAATTACAATATCGGTGTACTGGATAACACGTTATATAAACTGCGTGTGTGTACAAGGGTAACGCGTGTAGTGTCAAGCAGTCTGTCTAACTCAACAAAATGAAAATGACACTTTTAAAGGACTTGAGGCAATTACAAGAATTCCACGAGAACAGTTGGTACAGAGAGAATCGGGATGATGCAACACACCAGTAGCATGTGCAATATATATATATATATATAGGTCAGATCACAATAAGCTGATTATGAGCTAAGGTTATGTTGTAGACATAGGTCCTTTAGACACAGCGAAAAATGTCTTCAGTTCAGAATGAGGCAACGTAGCAGGATCTGATGGAACGACTCAAGTGATGTTATTGATGATAGTGACTATGTTGACTAAGGTCCCGAGATAGTCCAAACGATCTGGTGCAGGTCGTTGAACATCTCAATGGGAATATATATATATAGAGAGAGAGAGAGAAGACGGAGGTTATGAAAATAACTAACCAACCAACAACAACAACAGCCACAACATCCAGTGCCAATCACCACCAACGGAAGGGATTTGAAAGAGGTTACGTCATTCACTTATCTAGGGAGCATTGTCTCAACTACAGGAAGTCGGAACATACAAGGATGTCAAATCGAGAATCAGGACGGCGCGAAACACATTCATCAACCTGAAACAACCAATCTGGAAATCTTCGTCACTCAGCATCAACAACAAAATTCGGTCAAATCACCAACAAGAAACTATGCTAACAGACAAAACAAGAACCAATCCCCAACCAACAAATATGCAAGAGAAAGTGGAGATGGATAGGACAGTCGCTGGGCAGGCCACTGGGTGACATCGCGCGCGCGTTAGGCCATTGCTTCAGTGGAACCAGGCCGAAAGGGAAGTGGCGAGTGGGACGTCAGTGCAAGGGTGACATGGATGAGATCGTGTGAAAAGGAGTTGAAGCAGTATGGACTAACATGAATGCAGGTGAAAAGTACAGCAGAAGACAGAAGCAAGTGGAGACGTGCATTTGAACCCCTCTGTTCCACTAGGGAACCCAAGGGAACAATAATATATATATGCCTTATCAAAATCTGTTATCAATCCAATTGGTGTAAACCACATAGGGAGGTACAGACTACTTGCTTAAAATCCTTCAGACTCTAAGAAACAATGAATGTAGAATGTTAGAAGCATGGTTCAAAATGTTCTTCATGGTACAGATGCATTCACTCTTCATGAACTGCTATATCTATCATATTCTCAATATCTTGCCCCCACCCCACCCATATACTCGTTCTTCCACCACTAAATCTCAGTTCATTAAAAGGTTCCCTTGGATATTAATTCTCTATCTTTGGGTATATCACGATTGTCAGCTCATCTTTTTCATTTTTCTGTTTCATTTAGTAGATTTCCATCTCCGTCTCAAAAAATGAGACGGACTTTGCTCCGCGCAGCCCAGCGTAGTATAACACAAGAGGTGTGGATTGGATTGTTGTTAACTTACACTGAGTGAAAATGCCAGTCCAGTATATACACAGTACAATGAACTGTACAAAAGCAATGTGAACATTATAAGAAGCACTTATTAATAATTCATTATTTCGTATAAGAATTAAACTTAGTAAATTCATTGATATTATTTGCATTTCACAATACAACAATCACGATAAAAATCTATGTCCCATGCTATAGCGCTTGCTTGTAGGTTTGTCTGTGTGTGTGTTCGCAGACAATTGCGATACTGACCAGTCGTGAAGAAAACCCGCCTAAGTTGACATGAATTAGAGATAAAGTCATATATACATATACATAGTACTTGTAGCTAAGATGAATGAATTATTGAATACTGTGTATACAATAAGACAAGGAAGTTAATTAATAAAGCTTCAAACAGGTAACTCAACTACACTGTCGTCCAATGATGCATAAAAAATGAGCTGATTAATCTGTCCAGAAGATTTGAGAATGTAACACTACTAACTTAATACTTTCACACAAGTGTATCACAACACTAGTTTTTGTAGAAAATGAATGAATGCTAATCGACAGAAAAGAATGAAGGGTGAAGATGAATTGAATAAAAGTTAGTTGAAAAAGAACTCCGAATTTCAATGACTAGTAGTAGTGAAATTGACTTATGAGATGATTCATCTTGAGACCGCCTCTCCCCCCTCTCCATTCACACCCCACAACCACTGATTCATCTTAGCACCATGTCTCTACTAGTCTTTGCTATCGACAAACTATATCATTAATAATGACAATCGATCTGCGAAAATGTATATTAAAGTCAATATCTTCAATTACCGTTAATGTTAAAAAAAATAATTCATCCTTACTTCAAACATAATGCATTTCATGAACATCAACTAATAGTGAAATATTGATCGATATGATTCAACGGTACAGAAGAGATTAAAACTATAAGATACACAAGTTTTCCCCACCTATTCATAATAGTGTCCACAGGTTGTTGTTTTTTTATTAAAATTTCCTCACATGAGCCCGTTTCAATCACTTTATCGACCTTGTTGATATAATCTGATGAGTCCATGTCTACCTATTGTGTTATCCTTATCTGATTTGGTGGCAGTCAATAAGCTCGTGGCATTCTTCAAGCTCTTATAAGCTGCTGTCTCTTTTTGTGTTAAGTTGTCTCTAAGCTTCCTTATGATGTTTTGGTGTTAATGTACATTATGCTCTGACTTGTTCAGCAGTAGTTCTGTCTACAAATGTTGGTTTGTAGGGATTTGGTTGGTTACAGGATTTCACCAAATTAGGACGAAAGAGCTGTCCAGTACTCCCAGGTTTTCCAATGGTTCTCTAGCCAATGTCAGCTAATGATGAAATCCAGTAGTTCCGTCTATTTCCCTCGATGTTACTTTTATACTAAACATGATATCTTCAGGTTTCAATCTATTAACGGGCTCTATTGAAGTTTAATCATTTTTTCAAATATTTTCATTTCATCAAAACTTGAGGCTCTTGTCGAGAGGTTAACTACCAACTTTGTTTTATCGATGGCTGACACTATTTTATTAGCAGGTTATTCCACCCACCCAATCCCACACTTTAATTAGTGGAACATTTCGATTTGAGTATTTTCGGATTTATTGAACGCAGATGAACTTACCTTTTTAGGTTGTTTCGAGTGTGATTTCTTAATGACCCTTTTCATTTACTTTATTTTTAAGATCGGTTTACAGCTGTTCAATCCCATGCCTGATGAAAGTTAGTTTACTGATAATTATGTGGATTTCTCTTAAACAGGAGTCTACCAGGTAGGTGTTCACCTTTCTTATTGTAACCGGGACGCGTATACGAAGATATCTAGGCATAATTCCACTTTTTAAGCATTGAATGTTAAAAATAGAATAATTCCTTAATCTTGCTTCTCTTTGTGATAGTTGTATGAGTTTATTGACTAGTCTTCGAAAAGGCAGACCATAGGTATCATTAAGGTAAGTGTAGAACTTGGGCAGTGTGTTTTGAGTCTGGATTTCAGTGCCCACGTTATACAATTACATTAACAAACATTGATTTTAAATCTCCAGAAATAAATTACACACTTGAAATTATAATTACTATTATTATTGTAGTAGTAGTAATACTGACAGCTTTATTCCGAACACTTATGTTCAGTATAGAATTTTCAGCCTGGTCTTATCTACTCTTTACACACAAAATCTTCAGGCAAAACAGTCTTCTACAGCGTCGTCATTCAATGGATTTTAGTTCAATCAGTGGCATGTTCCAATTCCCCAACTTATTTTCCCAGTTTGAAATAGGCTAAGCGGTTAGCCGAACGCCATTTAAAAATGCACATGAGTACAGATTATCCTTTAAAGAAGTAAATAGTATACTGAAGTCAATTCGGCGCATTGTGCTCTACGGGGAAATTAGGTAAACCAATAATTTAAGTAGGTTGTTGTGGAAACACACAGTCAACCGGTTAATAATCAAGACACAAAGAAATATATATATATATTCTTATGCAAAACATAAAAGAGAAAACACTGACCTGAGTCAACTGGCTGTGACACCGGAGAGACTTGACTTAAGTCTGTATAAGCTGATGAATCGGCATCCGTATCTTGTTCGTGAACAGCATAACAATCACCATTGTCAACATATTCATTGGTATAACCATTTGTATGTTGATGACTCTTTCCAGTGATTGAAGGTGCTGTCATCATATGCTTGTTGTTATTATTATTGTTATTACCGTCATTATTATTGTAATTATTATTACCATTCATATTAGTGGTGTTATTTGCTTCTGCTATATTTGGATAAACGCCTATCAAAGAATTCATTTGAGTCAATGACTGTTGCTGGACAAATAAACAAGTAGACAGAAGAAAAAGGGAAATAGGAAAACAAAAGTAAGTAGTGATTAACTAAATAGCTAATAAACTCAGTAATCAAGTCATTTTTTACGCATCATGCAATTTAAATGACAACTCCATCAAAAAAACTAAACGGAAAAAAATAATAATTTCAATTTTTTTATGTTGACAAAACTGAGCAACTCTTATCATGCATGGATAGTATGTTTATTTAATGAAAACACGACAGAATATGAGGAAAAGTATTTTTCTAGTGTTAGTTTGTAAGCATTCGATTAGTTTCCAGTTTGACCACGGATTGGTAATTAAGTTGGTTTCATCTTAATTCGGGACTCTAGCAGTATATGCAACCATGAACCTCACTGGGAAGGGGAATCGAGCCTGGGCCCTTAAAGGTTACTGCTAGACTATCTCGTTGACGTTTCAGCAACTGGGTCGGAATTCCAACCTCTGCCAATTCGTGATCAGAAGTGAGAATTCATAGGCCATTGAATTACTTCTCAGGGGTTGAACAACCAATTAGCTCGTCTAGTTAACCCGAAGATCTAGGGTACAATCCATAGTGAAATCATGGTGGTGTACTGTCGAAGAGACCCCAAAAAAACGGTTGTCCGGTTATCATCTAGTTCTCCTCAATGATTCTCTAACTGATATCAGTGCGTCATCAAACTTGAACAGAAGGTGGAAGAAAGTAGTGCGGAAAACAACTTTGTCTTTATTTCAAAATCAATTAACAATAATGAATCTTCAAGTTGATTATTAAAATATAAGTTACAGGATTTCATCATGAGCTGACATTAGTTAGAGAGCTATTGGAAAACCTGGGAGTGCTGGACATCTGTTTCGTCCCAGTCTAGGACTCTTCATCAGTACGCACCCATCAGTAGGTTACAGCAGGTCGGGTGTAAGGACAAATACTCGCCAAAGACATTGGCTGGAAGTCGCGCTATGTCGTAAATTGGCAGAAGTTAGAATTCATGAACTGGCCATTGGATCGGGTCCCAGTGGCTTAGTGGTATACGAGTTCGCTTTGTAACCCCGGTGGGTGCGTACTGACGAGGAGTCTCAAACTAAGATGAAACAGCTGTCCAGTACTCCCAGGTGGTTTTCCAATGGTTCTCTAACCAATGTCAGCTCATGATGAAATCCTGTGACCAATCAATTTTTTATTTTTCATTACAGCTTGATTCCACACTGTATTTTTGGTACAAGTACGAAATTTTCAGCATGGATATCGGTAGCCCAAATTTTGCAGGCCGACTATAGATACACTTGAATAAAATATAAGTGTTTTTTAATCATTCATCATTGATATCCTGTATAGCCTGTATTATCGCATGCATGAGCTGTTTCCTCTTAGGTTGAATGATTAGTTGATACATGTTAAAACGTGAAAATAAATAAAGTTATGCTAACTGACACAACAATTATCATATTTTTAATTAAGATGAGTACGATGAAAATAATGCTAACAAAAAAAAGAAAGAAAAACAAAAACAAACAAACAATGAATAGTAGCAGACATGCGCTTTCACCAGTCTATAAGACGGGGGGAATGATTCATTCTCTGATGATGCTCCAGTGAAAATGACATTAAAAATTGTTTATGAGAAAAATTAAGATTTCAGTTATATATATATAAGTAAATGAAATAAAATGCATAAAGAAGACGAGCAAATGCAATGATTCATGATTTAAAATGTAGGGTAGGCGGCTAGAGTCTTTCACCCCTTTTGGTACACTACATTCACGTAAGTAGAAGACATGCAGATACTTTTGTTGAAAGTATGAACAGAGAACAGGGAATACTCTGCATAACATACTGCCTACAGATACACATACTTTAGAATCTTGCTCCTCCTCCTCCTCCTCATTTTCCTCTTCCTCTTCCTCCTCCTCTTCTTCTTCTTCTGACAGAATCTGTTTAACATTAGACGGATATTTACCAAGATATTACGACGAAAACACAAATTCGCTACGCACACACATACACACACATGCATCAGAGATCATAGTGCTCAGAACTTATTATTATTATCACCATTAATAATAAAAACAAAAACTTGATAGATTATGAGAATGCGTTATACGAAACCCATATTTTGTCCAAAGGCGTAAGGAGCGTCAGGTTCAGTGCACCATTCGAATTGTTCGGATACAGAACTTTCCAGACCCCTCCCCACGTAGAGCTGAATGTCCCATCAGTCCAGTTGAAAGCACCAGACGTTTGGATTCGCCCTTTCACTTTTTAACGGAGCACCCCCGCCAATTGAAAGCAATGTATATGACTTACCTGGCAGAGGCGACGAACGCGTGGTCACATAAGAGGATTTTGAGAGGAAGACTAAAGTTAACCCACCCTAAAGTGAAAACTTCTCCTGACTAAAATGATAAGTGATAGTGGTATAAGTTACTCAATAACCACTTGTATTTCTATGCAGTTGGATGGTAAGAAACCTATAATGTGTGAAGGCTAGTGATGCATGTTATCTGGAGCAGGACTTCAACGTGTGGTCCAATCGGTTTGAAGTCAAGAGACTAGACCAATGAGCTACAACTCCACAAAAGCATATATGATACCTGAATGCAAAGCTGCAGTATAAAGGAATAGAAAAGTAGGCACACAGTAGGCCTGAAATGCTTAGCCAGCTTCTTAGCAATTTTATCCTATTATAATATATTATTATTGTTATTGTTCCCTTGGGTTGAGAATGGAACATAAGGTCTCAACAATACATCTTAAATAGGTTCTTTTTACTGTTGTACTCTCTATCTGGGCCTACGATTACTCATAATCTCTCACTTCCTCCTCCTCCTACAGTCTTCTCCAAGTCACCCTCGTATTGACGACCCACTCATTGCTTCCCATTCAGATTCAACTCGAACAATGGCCTGTAGTGTGCGCGATATCATTCGACGATCTCCTCAGTGTGTGCCTTATCCACCTTCATATTCTCCTACATATCTGTTGCACGATAGATTCTTGGTTAGTTTATTCCCATAGTTTCTTGTTTCTAGTTCACTCTGGTCGGCTGGCCATTGGATCTTCGATTTGAATTGGTAAAGGTAGCTGTTGATAAAAGTCCGAAACTTGTTGAAAATCCTTTTAGTGCAGTGCACTGGAAGTTTTTGACTCATACAGAAGCACTGACTAACTGACTTCACATTTCTGTTGAAAATCCGAATATTCTTCTTGATTTTGGCTAAGTCCAGTCCGATTCCACATTGATGAAGGCGTGTATCTTGTCTTTCTGATTCTACCTGGCTGGCTGACTTTTAACATCTTCATCCGTCCCACCACCTGTGGTTGAAACAATGCTTTCTATCAAGTGAAGGAATTAACCTCGTTCAGGTTTCCCCCAATGGTAGTGATTGGTTCTGGTTGTTGTTGTCGCTGTTGATTGGTTGTCTATGTTTGTCAGGTTCGCCTTCTCTATTTTCACCTGAACTTCGTCTAGTTTACTAGCCCTTTACAAGACGAGAAAAAGAACGAGGGTTTAGCACGGAGCAAGCGACCCTAACCCCGGGGAATCAATCAAACTGCTGCAGAAACTTCAACGCACCACAAAAATACTAAGAATACAAAATGTATTTAATCAATTGATCTGAAATGATGAGGCATGATTAGAAACCCGCGTTGGTTGACAAAAGTGTGCTGTAAGACAAATAAGAACATCCTCTGTCCGTGTGTGTGTGTGTGTGTGTGTGTGTAAAAACCTCAAGCAAATGCCATTCCCAATGTAACTATCACCAACTGAATGTTAGATGCTGCTCAGTATAACCCACATGTCATTAGTGTTGATAAAAATTTTGACATTAATGTGTAATATGATTAATACTAAACCATCTACCATTAACGATACTGTAGTGGAGCCCATTCCTTGTGTACATTTATCTGTTATGATGTAGGTCGTATGTGGAGCTGACGACAAAGCCATTAAACCAAAATGAATACGGATGAAATGTTGGTGGTAAGCAGATGATTAATTAACCAATTAGAAAAATACTATGAAAAACGGAACGTAGCAAATTCAGGTTGAAAGTATAAGGTATGTGTTGCCAGGCTATTTCAACTTGTGGTGAGAGCTGGCTGTTAGCCAAAATTGGTGGACAGTAATTTGCGTCAATCTTTATGTCCACAATATTGGTCGTGAGAAAAATGAGAACAAAGGCTCTGGCTCTGGATACAGTTAGGATATAGATGATCTGACATTCAACAAACAGCCACAAAAAGATGCAAGGTTAACTTTCTGTGGGAAACAACCAATCACAAGACTGTGTTTTTCTGCTTACAATAATCTATAATATGTACATAAAAATCTATAAATATGTGTTGATTTCCTTAATGAATGCCTGTTGCTTGGTCCTTGTCTTCTGTTGTTACAAACTGATCAAAATAAATATGTTTGAATTCCAGTTCACTCTTAATTCTGCGTTTACATGACCCATTAATAATAACATGCATTATACTGTCAGCAGATATAGTCTAATAAAAAAAATTCCAAACAACACCATCTCTGAAAACACCCAGCCAAAAATAACAACAAGCACGAATCACTATCACTGGGAGGAATTTGAAGGAGACCACTTTTAGACAGCATCATTTCAACCACAGGCGACAGACAGCACAGATGACGATATCACAGGCAGGATAGAAAAGACCAGGTTGGACATTCATTAATCTGCTTCATTCAGTCTAAGTAACAAAATTCAGATTTTCAATACTAATGTCAAGTTTGTCAGTGCGTGAGTACAGTTCCCAGACTTAGCACGTCACGAAACAAAATACCTTCATCAACACTTCTCAATTTATACCGAGGATGGGGACGCCAGAAGGCAAATGGCAACAAAGAACTCTGACAACAAACCAATCAGGAATCTATCGCCCAGTGAATATGCAGAGGGAAACAGAAATGGATCGGGTACACGCTGAGGAGACTGTTGAATAACATCACACAACATACCCTCGAGTGGAACCCGCGTGGAAAGTCAGGGGTTGGTCATCATGTATCATCTGATGGGGACATAGAAGAGATTGTGTGATGAGGAGGAGATGAAAGTTTATGGTCAATCGTGGAGCTAGTTAAAAAGGGACTTTAGAGCGCAGTAGGTGCTGCTAAAGCCCTATGTTATCCTTGGAACCCAAGGGAAAAGTAGTCATCAAAATAATGATGATAATAATAATAGTAATAATATCTCTACCTGATCGAATTGTTCACGTAGTCGAATAGCATATTCTTCTAATTCTTGTGTTCTAGAAGCTAGACGACTTAAATGTTTTGAATCTGTGCGTAACTTTGATAAATGACGTTTACGCTTGGAGTAGCCTAAATTTTCATTATTTTTATTCCCATTCATAGTAGATCTCGGCTTATAAGCAGCTTCACTTGAATGATTAACTATAGCACAAGAATAATGTTCAGGCTGATTCACTGGTTGTTTCATTTCATATGGATAAATAGATGATCGAATCTGATGAGACTGTGAAAAATCTTCATTGTCATCATCATGATGATCACTATCCTCCCAATCTTCAAGAGAATCACTTAAGCGTCTTTGATGATTAACTCTGGCATTTTTAGAAAGTACACTATTGTACTGATGATATAGACGATGATGATGATGCTGATGATTGTGATCCAATGGTCCAATTACTGGTGCACTTCTTCTTGGTTGACTACTACTATAATGACAATCGATTGATTTACTTTCAGAATTCTGTTTTAATGAATCCACTAGAATTCTAGTCGTTTCTAATTCACGTTGTAAATCTGAATTACGCTCTGCGACACGAGCACGTTCTGCTTCTAGTCGACGGCATTCAAAGGTTGTTTCCACTAACTGTTGCTGTAAAAAACAAAAAGACATAACAGTAGACGAGAAATTTCAAAATAGATTAAATATTGTCACTGATGAAAGTATTAAATAACAATGATTTGTTATTATTTAATTGGTGGATGGTGACTAGCAGTGGAATCCAGGATGCCCATTTTGTCCTATTTAGGACTCATCATCTGGATGTACCTGCATTACCCAGTGAGTGATGATGTTCCCACCGAGGCTCGAACCTAGTGCCCATAGTTTCAAACGCCAATCAACAGGAAAATCTAAAATTCAATTAAATAATTTGTTATGAAATAAAATTGAAAATGGGACTTCGAAAGATAGTACGGAGTTAGCAGTACTGTCATAATCTATGATCTAACCAATCCCTAATTCTCATGACTGACTGACTACAGCTCGAAGTTGCCTGGATTTCCTAGTGAGAAATTGTGACCAATAGGGTCTATCAAGTTGATTGTGAGGACAAATACTGACCTACGACACTGGAGTTCATTGGTCAATCACTGGATTCCACGCCAGTGTGACTGAATGGTCAACAAACTCGCCTAGTAACCTGAAGGTCCTGGTTCCGAGCCTTAACAACGGAGTCATGACTGCGTACTGCTTAGGAGTCTCAAAGTAGGCCGAAACAGCTGTCCAGTACTCCCTACTGGTAATCATCAGTGGTTCTCTAATTGATACCGATCCATGATCAAATATGAAATATAATCTGTTGTACAATATATGCTCCTCATGACTTTGCAAATTTATAACCTTTTAGAAAATAGCCAAAGACTACATTTACACACAATTAGTTAATTTTTGGTTTGAATGCAGTACATTAGGTTTGACTGAACAGTGACCACCGACTTCATATACTTTGAGTTGAATGGATTCATAACGGTAACTTTGTTTTTGAATGACTTACTCTTCTATTTTAAAGTCGAGTAGATTAACTTCATTAACTGACTCTCCAAACCTGTAGACGAAGTCATACTGGTTACCTAATGAAAACGCTCATTTTCACAGTCATCAGGCAACTTTCTGGCAAAGGTGTTGCTTTGTGCTGACTGACTAACTGTCTATCCACACTAGATCAATGACACGTATGGAAGTGATTTTTTTATTATAGCTTGAAACCACACAGTATTTTTGGTGCAAGTATGGAATTTTCAGCATGTGATATCGGCAGCCGAAATTTTGCAGGCCAACCATAGATATCAAGTGTGCGTAGGCAGGGAGTCGAACCCCGGACCATGTGCATGGTCGGCGAGAGTCCTAATCGCTGTGCCACCGACTTGACTAACCATCTGTAACTTTACTTATCTCAAAGATTTTCTTACTTTTAGATGTATTATCATAGAATGTGATAAATATTCATATACACTTAATATAAATTTAATAATACCCATACCACGGATGTTAAGAATATCTTGAGGAAATCCAAATATCATGTTTCTTGGACACCTTATGAAAATATTCATCATAATCAAAACAAGCTCTCTTTGAAACATTTCGTTGTATAAGTCACCTGTTTCATACAATCTGTTTAACTAACATCTCCGAGGTGGGACGAGTAGTAGTAGTAATAGTGAGCTATCCTGGAATAATGCCTCAAAAATTTTACCAAGAAAAACTTCCGAATGGAGAACAACTTCACTGAAACATTCTATAGCCTGAAATTCAGCTTTATTTCAGAACTCCTAGTAGGAAGAATGCATCAAACGCCTGGTATATGAATATTGTCCACACACTCTTTATCTCTCTCTCTCTCTCTCTCTCACACACACACACACACACACACACACACACACACAGATAAAAACGACCAGATTAATATGAAGTGTGAATACCACAAAGTTCCAACCTTAGGACTAGTAAGGCAATAAACTACACAACAAGTTAAGCTAAGCAGCCCTGAGACATCCTACATTTCTTTTTACATTTTAACATATTGCGCAAAAGTTATGGATATTTTTATATGACATATTGTCATATAATCATGAGAATAAAGCCTGAACCGGAATAGTTTATCAGTAATAATAAATGGATCAATCCATCAGTTACACATGTATAAAGAATTTTTATGTGGATTTTATGAGTCTAAAGGTATATATATATATATATAGTATCTGCTGTGAGTGAATAACAATCACACTGAGAAAATAGGTTGTGCACACCAATAGACTGATGGTGTGCTTGGCGCGCGAGTGATGTGATGAACACGCATGTCTGTATGTGTATACCTCGAAAGGCATCAAGAAGTAGTATGATATATATACAATTTCAATTCAGAAACCATTTCTTTGACAAAATTTGCATTTCTTATAATTTACAACTGCATTTTAGTAAGTTTGATTAAGTCTTATTCTCGTTTGCAGAGGGGTACTGTACTACTAATGACTGGATAGTGGAATTTGAAGAAAAGACAACACAATATATGAAAAGTGAGGTAAATACCAACCATCCTCCGGTCTTGTCAAATATCAAATCACGTTGTTTTTTATTTAGGTAGAATAGCACTACTTGCAGACAACTAATACACAATAACAACAATAATACTAATAGAAGTAGTAGTAACAATGTGATCCACACAGTAGACACTAGAATCTCAAGAGTTTGCAGAAAACATACACAAACACACACAAAGAACAGAGTTTTCTATCTATCATCTTATTATTTTAAGAAGAAACACTATAGTACACTGGATGCCATTTAATACGCAAAAGTATAGACATGTGTGGAATACTACTACAGTATGCCATTTTAAAGAATGCAACTTTTTTGAAAATAAAGTCATTATTACGTAGAGGAATGTTTGATCTCTAAAAATATCTAGTGTCTTAGCATTTGCTTCATTGGATTTAATTTGATTTTCACTTATCACTTTCTTCGACTTCTGTCTACTGCTTATTCTTGCTACCTTAAATATAACAACGTCACTGCTTTGTTTGACTTTCTTTCCGCTTCAAATATGCTTCTTGATGTATTTGCCTGAATAGAGATGTCTTTAACGTATACAAAAGTAAAATAAGCTATAGGTATATAAAGATTTGTTTTTTGATTTATGCGAATCTTTATAATGCACGTGTAATATTTCCCGTCGTAGTAACGAAACTTCGGTGGTTCAGTGGTAGAATGCTCCGGGGTTCGGTAACCCGACAACATTTAGTTATTTAAACGCAGAAAAAACTAGGTACAATATGGCACCAACAAAGATGCGCCACACAATAATAATAAAACAACATAGATCAAAAGTAAAAATATATGTAGAGAACAGATTAAGAACTTCATCTGGAAGGAAAACAGTCATGCTTAACAAGTTCAAACAGTATTCGTTTACTATCATCACGAAGGGAAGAAAGAAGGAAATTGCAACACGTTCACAATTGATTACGATTCTTGGTCATATCCAACAACGTTTCGAGTCATCAATTCGAGCTATCTCACGAACTCCGACCAGGGAGTTGTGACACACCAACCGACGCTAATCTAGCATAAAAATTCTTCACCCCACAATGCCACGTCATGCACTGACCACCTCTCCACCTTTCCACCCCGTCCCAGGGCCGGCTGAAGAACAGAGACCTGAACGGAAGCCTCTGGAATGACATTCACAGAACGTGTCCAAGCCACCGGAGCCGATGTTTCCAGATGACGACACTCAATAAACGGTGATCTCCACTGTGTTCAAACACACACCGCCGAACCTCAGAATTACTCACGCGATGATGCCATCCATCGAACGAAAGCAATCCTGCGGAGACAGCGATGATCGAACACGCAGAGTCGCCCCACATCCTCGGCCCATTCAGAGAGGCCACGTTTCACAGACGTAGAGAGACACACCCCGCAACAAAGCATTGTATACCCGACCTTTGACAACCAGGCTAACGTCGCGACGGCTCCAGAGGTGGCTCAAGTTGATGTATGCCAACCTAGCCTTCATTATACGGTTGGAAATCTCATCCGTCACCCCTCCCTTCACCAGCACTCACACAACTACCCACATACACAAACTTATCAACAACTTCAAGCGGTTCAGCCTCAAGAGTGAATGCAGGTACACACTCCTGCCAATCTTGTAACATTACTTTGCACTTACACAGCGCAAACCACATACCATACTTACAGACACTGATCGCCAACTGATTAAGTTCGATTTGGGCAGCCTGCATGCTATCGCACAGTAAGACAATATCGTCTGTATAATCGAGGTTGAGAAGTCTACCTCTAGGTAGCAGATCTGCACCACCTTCACGAAAACATAATCCCAACCTTGCTCAGCCGGGAGAGAAAGGTTAGACGCTTGGTAAAATAAAAAAATAACCCACCACTAGTGAGATTTCAAAGCTACGGGCTTGACGCCCTAAGTTTTCGACTCAGAACGCAACGGAGTAAATATGAATATACAATAATAATTATTATTATATATATATAATATATATATATATATATATATATATATATATATATATATATATATATATATATATATAAGGAGATATACAAATAATGAGCTTACATTTAATAGATTAATTTCTTTTTCATAATTCATACGAGCTGCTTCAAATTCTTCACTCTGCGGAGTCGCTTCTGTACGTGAAAGATTCTCTTCAGCTGATAATAAATTATTCTGTAATAATCTATTTTGATGTTGTAATTCACGATATTCTTTTTCCAGTATAATCCAATTTTGTTGATTTCTATTACACAGAGTAGTTTGTACAATCAATTCATCTTTAGTACAACGTAATTCTTCATTCTATATGAATAAAACAATGAACGGAAGCAACACAGACATAGAAGTGCCAGTTGGTATGAATAAACAACAATAAAGAAGATGCACAATGCGGGCGGCAGTGAACGAACAACTAAAAGTGGTCAATAGATGTTAACTAAATTAATCGCATAGGAGTAAAATCCAAAGACTATAACTGTGTGACTAAACACTTCCGGGTGTGAAGCTACATCGATTGATATTCAAGTGTTGGTTTGTAGGGATTTGATTGGTTACAGGATTTCATCATGAGCTGAAGTTAATTAGAGAACCATTGGAAAACCAACTTGGAGTACTGGACAGTTGTTACGTCCTAGTTTGGGACTCCTCTTCAGTACGCACCCACCGCCACGGTTCGAGCCCAGGACCTCCTGGTTACAAGGCTAGCGAGCCACTGGGACCTGATCCAATAGCCAACCCATGAATTCTAACTTCTGCCAATTCATTACATAGCGCGACCCCTAGCCAATGTCTTCGGCATGGCTAGGATACGTGTTGCGCATACTGAACCACCCACCGCCTTCCTAGATGAGAAATATTAGCCAACAAAGCGGTCCATGAAGTTTCCAAATATTGAGGGTGTAATCTATGTAATCGAAACGTTAATCATAGCCTGAATATCTCACTAATACTGTTTTTTTCAATACATGGAGAGAAATATATAACATCGAATACGAGAGTATCAGTTTACGTCCTCGGCAATAGATACTCAAAAAACTAATTAACAGGACAAATAAAAAAGGACTGCAGATCTAATATTACCCTAAATATAGCAGTGTAAAATAAAGCATGTATTGTTCTCTTTGGGCCGAATATAATATGGACAACAGAAGATGATGATTAATTGTGAGGGACTGGATTATGCGTCAGGCTGTACACAGAGAGTAAGGAGACAGGAATACGCTGGACAACAGATACGAAGACTCTAGGTCTCGATTTCGCGTGTGGATGATATATGTCTAATGTCACACAAACTCGAAGAATTGCAGGCAAAAACCAAAAAAATGGCTGGAGAGGCTGACAACGAAGACAGGACTCCAAGTGAACATAGCGAAGATGGACGTGGTCAAGATAAACAAACCAACCAACAGCAACAACAACAACCAGCACCAGTCACTATCATTGGTGGAAACTTGAAAGAGGTTACTTTTTTCACCTAATAGAAAGCATTGTTTCAATCACAGGGGGGGGCGGGACGGGACGGATGAAGATGTCAAAGTCAGCCAGTCAGCCAGCCAGCCAGCCAGAATCGGAAAGACAAAATACACGCCTTCATCAATGTGGAATCGGTTTGTAAATCTTCTGGACTCAGCCTACATCAAGAAGAATATTCGGATTTTCAACACAAATGTGAAGCCAGTTAGTCAGTGCTTCTATATTTGTCAAAAACTTGCAGTTTACGCCACTAAAACGATTTTCAACAGGTTTCAGACTTTTATCAACAGCCGCCTTCGGCAATTCCATTTTGAAGGTCAAATGGATGGTCAAAGTGAATTAGCAACATGAAACTCTGGATGGGAGTAAACCAATCAAAAGCCGACTGTGCAACAGATATGTAGGAGAAAATGGAGGTGGATCGGACATACGTTGAGGATGCCATCGAATGACATCTCGCGCAAAGTAGGCCATCTCTCGAGTGGAATCCAAATGGGAAGCGACAAGTGGGTCGTCGTTGCGACGGTGATAAGGAGGAGATTGTGCGAGGACATTAGAAATTACGGGGAATCGTGGAACCAGCTAAAGAAAGCCACTGAGAGTACAACGAAATTGAGATGTGTGGCTGAAGCCCTATGTTCTACTTGGAACCCAAGGAAATAATAATGATAACAGCTATATGCTGATTGCGATTATATGGTTGGAGGCAATCAGCAGGAAGCCTGAGTTTCAATTTTAGCGGTACTCGTCAGCAACATGTATCTATAGTCTCCAAGGAACTAATGTTCTTTCTGAGATTCGAACTCATGTCACCCAGTGTACCGATCAGAAACGTTACCATTGAGCTATTACTAAATGAAGAACTATCCCAAACGATGCAGTTCCGTTTATAATTCTTAAAACCCAACTTTTATGTATGCTACTGACAGGAATTTACAGGTAAAATATATTGTGAATAATGTCTTCTAGGAGAACCTCCAATACTGGAGTAACGGATTAAGTTGCGAAAAGAAATGATGAAAGATATTCACGAAACAATAAAAGAAGCATGAAAGGAAGACCATAGAAGTACAATACAAGGAGCGTGTGTGTAGATAGAGACTTCAGTGTAAGGTTCGTCCAATGCCCCATAACTGTAAACCAATCTGCTACCAAGCTCCTACAATGTTTCTACTGTGAAAAACCTAGTGAATGAACTCACTTTTTTCATTGATATATATATATATAATAAGTCAATTATTATACTCAAGACAGACATTATAAATACCCAGGCACAAAGAAACAGACTTATGCCAGCATAACATGCAAATAGATTATTTTAATTAGAATTGTCAACAGTATCATAAATTCATCAGAAGTGTGACAGGTAACTTTAATCACAGGTTAGACAAAGAGAATATATTAGCCAGCCCTCCAAGGTCATCGGAAGGAAAAGAAACAAAAAAGAGTACGTCTACTAATCTAGTGTGAGTGACACAAAATGCAAATATACACTATATATATATATATATATATATATATATATATTCAGATGGAAGCAATAGTTGTAACAATAGCCTGAAAAATCTGTTCAGTCAAATAAGACTGCCAGATTACTCCTAAAGTCATATTCTCAGTGCGACAAAAATCCCACTTCAGTTTTACAATGATGTGTCTAGCCAACAATTCTCTACTTTTCTTTTCTTTCCTATAGCATGATTGTATATTCTACAAAGTCACAAACGCATTGGGGGTAAATGCTAATGAACAATTGAGAATGCGTTCTTGTACTTAGCAATAAGCTAGGCATATGATGTTATTATGTATATAGTGTTATTCCTTTGGATTCAGAATAGAGTACATCGGGTTCAAGCGGAACATCTGAAATTTCACCTGTATGGTTGTGAGACCTGGTCACTGAGAGTGGAAGACATGAAAAGACTAGCTGTCTTTGATCATAGGTGCCTGCGTTCTATTTCCCGTGTGAAGTGGCATAATAAGGTGAGCAACATGGAGGTTAAGCGTAGAGTTCTAGGTAAACAGGGGAAATCAATCGACGAAGTCGTGAAGCTACAAAGACTGAGATGGTTAGGACATGTGTTACGTATGCCAAGCCATCGCCTCCCTCGACGAGCAATGGTAGCGGATATATGGTCAGGCTGGAAAAGAGCAAGTGGAGGTCAAACAAAAACATGGTCTCACCAGTCAATGAAATCCACAACAGTTGGTCTAAGCCACGTAGGAAGGTGTAGACTTCCAGGCTGCGGTCTTAGGGACGGTAAAAATCTATGGTTGGAAACAATTGGTGACATGGCTTAAAATCGTTCTCAGTGGCGAAGATGCATCCACTCCCTGTGACTTATGATCTCCAATGAAACTGTTTTGTTCTTCGTTATTACTCCTTTGTCTCACACCTCTGCTCACTGTCTCTATTATGCTTTTCTTGTACTTTCTTCTCTTGCTTCGCGTGCTACACGGAATGTGGCGACTTGAACTTCCGCACATTTGTGCAAAGTTCTATGTCGAAAACAGACAGACAGACAGATTTCCAATGAAACTTTTTTGTTCTTCGTTACTACTATTCCTTCGTCTCACACCTCTGCTCACTGTCTCTATTATGCTTTTCTTGTACTTTCTTCTTTGCTTCGCGTGCTACACTGAGTGCGGCGACTTGAACTTCCGCACATATGTGCAAAGTCCTATGTCGAAAACAGACAGACAGTATGTTCTCTACAGTCTTTTTGAGGAGGCTTTACGACTCGTGATAAAGCAATCCTTCGCCCTTTGACACACACACACACCCACACACACACACACATGATCTCCGTATTATCCTCGAACCAACTTCGAACTCGTCTCCCATTCGAAAAGTTGCAGTCAACGCTCTCTCGCGCAGGTATATTGTTTTTTCCTTCACGTTCCCCAATGGAACACAGGGACCGACCGAAAGCTGCTACCTTGACGTGGTGGTCGGGCTTGAACACCGCAATGACCTATTCAAGCTATACTGGCTGAGACTTATGTCTCTTGAGGTTCTACCATGCCAGGCAGGTTGTTTGGATAGCGGTTAAACAAAAAGCAGCTACCCAATCCAACATCATGTCCAATACAAAATCACAAAATTTCATGCCGGATCGGCCGTGGCCCGGATTAACAACGACCGCGCTTCCTGCTGCCGTGTCACAGGGCAGGAGTGATAAATATGCTACTGAGACACACCAAACAAAAAAGAACGAACAAAAACAGGCCGCGTGTGACCGGCCTCAAGCAGTTGTCCCCTGGGCTCTGCGGTCACGCAACCAACTTCCACGGTGTGGGCAGCCGGGAAGTAACAATCGCCCTCACAATCCGAAATGCACACGAAACCTCTCTATTACTCACTCATCTTTGTCTTCATCTTCATCTCTATCATCTTGCCTTCCTTCCACTGATGCAACTCCTCGACTTGATAGCTCTCCACTTCCTCTCCACTCTGCGTCCACTAAAAACGATGGAAGCCAAAAAACCACCACCGACAGCCTCTTAAAGCCGCGCCACCAATTTCATATAGGAGCTCTTAATGTTAGGACACTTTGCCAAATAGGACAACAAGCATCACTAGCCAAGACCCTGGCATCACGAGCCATTGATGTATGCTGTGTTTCAGAAACACGCATACAAGACCCAAGTGTGGTTATTCACCTAACCCCACCTGGCCAACAGGTTGAATCTGCAAAATTCACCTTGAGGGTGTCAGGAGATGCCACAGCTAGTTCACGAGGATTAGCTGGCGTAGGGATAGCTTTGAGTACTAGGGCAGAAAAGACATTGCTTGACTGGATCCCGGTAGATAGCCGAATGTGTGCTGTCCG